GGAAAGTAAAGGTATGCTGCAGAAAAAGTGCTTGCTGAGGAGCAGAAGCAAGCCAATCCGTACACTGGGGTGGGGGGCAGAACTGCTGTTATTGTGGAACAAAGTTTGAGTCCAGTGGCACCTTTAAGACCAATAAAGTTTTATTCAAGGTATGAGCTTTTATGTGCATGCACACTTCCTCAGATACAAACTGTTATTGTGGCCATTCTCACCCAGGATTTTGGCAAACCCATCTTTTCTCCCCATTTTCTACTATATATTCTACAATGGCATTTTCCAGATTTGCTGACATATTTAAGACTTTGAATAGTTCAGCTGGGATACCATCCCCTCCACTAGCTTCGTTGTTAGTAATGCTTTCTAAGGCCCATTTGACTTCGTACTCCAGGATGTCTGGCTCAAGGTCAGTGATCACACCGTTGTGGTTGTCAAGGACATTGAGGTCCTTCTTATATAGTTCTTCTGTGTATTCTTGCCATCTTTTCCTAATTTCTTCTGCTTTTGTTAGGTCCCTACCATTTTTATCCTTTATCGTGGCCAGCTTTGCATGGAACGTTCCCTTGATTTCTCCAATTTTCTTGAAGAGATCTCTAGTCCTTCCCATTCTGTTGTTTTCCTCTATTACTTTGCATTGTTCATTCAGGAACGCCTCCTTATCTCTCCTTGCTGTTCTCTGGAAATCTGCATTCAGTTGGGTAAATCTTTCCTTTTCACCTTTGCCTTTCTCTTTCTCTCTTTCTGTTTCCTCTGCTATTTGTAAAGCCTCATCAGACAGCCACTTTGCTTTCTTGCATTTCTTTTTCTTTGGGATGGTACTGATTGCTGCCTCCTGTACAATGTCGCAAACCTCCATCCATAGTTCTTCAAGCACTCTGTCCATCAAATCTAGTCTTGTAAACCTATTCTTCACCTCCACTGTATATTCATCAGGGATGCGATCTAGGTCAAACCTGAATGGCCTAGTGGCTTTCCTAACTTTCTTTAAGTCTGAATTTTGCAATGAGTAGCTCATGATCTGAGCCACAGTCAGCTCCAGATCTTCTTTTTACTGACTGTATAGAGCTTCTCCATCTTTGACTGCAAATTATATAATCAATCTGATTTTGGTGTTGACCATCTGGTGATGTCCATGTGTAGAGTTGCCTCTTAGGTTGTTGGAAGAGGGTGTTCGCTATGACCAGCATGTTCTCTTGACAAAACTCTGTTAGCCTTTGCCTGGCTTCATTTTCTTCTCCAAGGCAGAACTTGTCCGTTATCCCAGTTACCTTCTGACTTCCTGCTTTAGCATTCCAGTCCCCTATGATGATGAGGACATCTTTTTTTGGTGTTAGTTCCAGGAGGTGTTGTAGGTCTTCATAGAACCAGTCCACTTCAGCCTCTTCTGCGTCAGTGGTTGGGGCATAGATTTGGATTACTGTGATGTTGAATGGTTTGCCTTGGATTCGGACCGAGATCATTCTGTCATTTTTGAGATTGTATCCTATTACTGCCTTTTGCACTTTCTTGTTGACTGTAAATGCCACACCATTTTTTCTACGGGATTCTTGGCCACAGTAGTAGATATAATGCTCTTCAGAGTTCAATTTGCCCATTCCCGTCCAGTTTAGTTCACTGATTCCCAAGATGTCGATGTTCAGTCTTGCCATCTCATTTTTGACCACGTCAAGCTTACCTTGATTCATAGATCCTATGAATTCCAGGTTCCTATGCAGTATTGTTCTTTGCATCATTGGACCTTCCTTTCACCATCAGACACTTCCACAACTGAGCGTCCTTTTAGGTTTGGCCAAGCCGCTTCACTCTTTCTGGGGTTACTTGTACTTGCCCTCTGCTCTTCCCCAGTGACATATTGGACACCTTCCGACCTGAGGGGCTCATCTTCCGGTGTCATATCTTGTAGCCTTTTGATACTGTCCATGGGGTTTTCTTGGCAAAGATACTGGAGTGGGTTGCCATTTCCTTCTCCAGGGGATCACACTTGGTCTGAGTTCTCTCCTGTGGCCTGTCTGTCCTGGGTGGCCCTCCACGGCATAGCCCACAGCCTCATCGAACCACGCCAGCCCCCTCGCAACGACAAGGCAGCGATCCATGAGGGATATCATACCGAATTTAATTTGTGCAGCACTCCCCCCAGCTAGCAGCTGCCACTACTGCTGATCTGGAAAAGAGTTTATTTCTAATACATCAAATCTGATGGATTTATTAGATCAAAGAACACTTGCATAATTTATATCATTTGCAGAATGTGTTCTGGTCACAAGGCACTGGCAGGATTTTGGCCTTTAAAAAGAAACTCACAGTGGGAGAATAGCTCCACTTGCAAGTGACGTCTTTGGCTAGGGAGAGAGGGGCATGCTAACATCACAGGGAGGGTTGTGGGTGTGGATGGAGCCCTTAAAGGGGCACTTGCTGCCA